TGGAGGAATGACACCATAACTTTGTCCTTCCCAGTATGGGACATTACCACCATGGTCAATGACAATGTGACATGTTTCACCAGGAGCTTTAGGACCTACAATTCTCTCAACGGAGACAATTGAGGCTGTGTAGGGTCCCTTTGGTTTGTACAAGTTGAGGGGTGGCTCCTTTGTATTCTCCAGTTCCAGAGGTTTAATAGCAACTTTACATTTACTTTTGCTTGCTTGTTGCACGGACATACAAAAGACCTTCTTCGTATGTCTTGGTTGCAGGGTCTTGTTTTCCCATGCTAATTTTCCAGTCCATGACTTATTGCGGGAGTTATTACCCTGAACAATAACAAGTAAATCATGTACAAAAATACAGTACTACGGATGATAGAAACTTAGGGTCCAATAACCCCTAAGCTAAGGAGAATCAAATACTGAATGTTTGCCTGTAAAGCCCAACAACAATTCCTAGGTCCTCGAGATATGAAAGAATTATAGCCTAGGAATGTTTTCGAAAAGGAAGTGATGTGCATGTTGTGTGAGTATTTCTTAGTAATAATTCTCAAAAGAAACTTTGGCATACAAAAATGTGCATGTCACTAGTTCATATAGCACATATTGCCCAAGTGTGAATCTTATTTGTACTTCATTTCGAGGTGTGGAAAAAATTAAGTCATATCCCCTCTAACCTAAAAATATATAACACCTATATCCCATCGATCAGATAAGTGGTAACTGATTACTGACATCTGTTTAGCAGTAACTCTCCAATGCTGAGTGGTAGTTGCAAAGTAAGCAATGGAGATGCCAACTAAGTCAGGCAAAGATATGATCGAGAAAACTCTAAGCCGCATAGAGCTGCTGGCAATCACGCATTTCGCTTCAAATCCCTCAACAGTTCAACTAGCAGAGTGCTCTATCTGCTGGTTTCCAAAAAAACGTACTTAGCAAAGTTTAGAAATTTCAGTTTTGCTAAAGCACATCTAGATGTGCCATAAGTATTGCACATCTAAGTCATATGTCATTGATCTTACATTGAGATTCGTGTGAATATTTTCTTTCCTTTTTTCTTTTTCTCTTTATGCTTGATTCACTCCCTTAGATGTGCAATAACTAGAGCACATCTAGATGTGCCCTTAGAATTTTGCCTTTCGGAACTACTGTATTATTCTACAGTGCCAACGCAGATAGAACTATGAGATTCCTCATCGATACCACCCGAACGGGAGCAACATTAAACCTCAGACAGTTCAGACTAACCACGCACCTTGAGCGAAGAACAACTCCTGTAGTGGCGACCATCCGAACCAATCGGCGCCACGGCAGCCACCTACAAGGCACCAGGAAAGCAGGCGAAGCTTAGGGGCACAGCGAACGGGGAAGCCGCGCGCACGCGGAGGGTGTAAGACAAGAGCGCGCGTACCTGGGCTCCGAGGGCGGAAGCCATGGCCGGTCGATCACGTGCTTGCGGAGGAGTTCGCTAGGGTTTTGAATTTTGATCTGCGGAAGCGACGGGGAGGAAAGAAAGGGACACGAGTGTGGAAGTTACGAGAAGAGTAGAGAAGCAGAGGCCGCTATCGGGGTGAATGGCAACTTTGTTCTGTTCCGCACTGCGTACCACAGTTTCATCGTCGCCGAGAGTGAATTTTTAGAGCACGGTGCACCTTATGTTAAACATATTATTATTAAAAAAACAACTTTAAGAGCAACTCCAACGGGTCGAGCCAAACGGACGGCGATTTCGTCCATTTTTTATCCGTTTGGGTCGGCCAGACGGACACGGATGCCTGCTTCCGTATTTGGGTCGGCGCCTGCGTCCAACGCTGGCCTAAGACCCATTTTGACGGCACTAAAAAAATAAACGCATGCATATTTAAAAAAAGAGAAACATCATTAATTAAACATTAATGCCGGCTACGAAGGCCGGCGAGAGTCCACGCGTCCACATTTGCATAAAAAAATAAAAACAGCCTAAACTACGAGGCGGCGCGCTGCCCTAGGCGGCGGCGGCGGCGTCCTCGGGGTCCGTGAGATCGATGAGCGTCGGCGCCGGCCCAGCCCAGGCGAACGCCGTGTTCCAGAGCGCCGCCATGTCGGGCTGTGCCGG